CCAATTTTATGGATAATTACAATTACTTACTGAAGTTCCTTTTAACTTTAGTCTCATTCTCTCAACAAATAAATAATGCAACCAAGAAAGAAGATTTACTATATTTTATTGCTTTATGCTTTTAAAAAATTCATATGCTATCATTTTTAAAATTTGATCTTTTAACAACAGTGTCACTAGGATAGAATAAGTACAATTTTTATTTAATATTTGAGAAACTTGAAGCTTGGAAAAATTAAATTTACCTGTAGTCAATAATCCAGTTTGGGTTGGTTCTGCTACTTCAAGTCCTATCTTCTGTGAGTTCAAAGAACATGGGGAGTTTTTATATTACATTGCTCTGAGAAATAGTAATTAGAGAAAAATACTAATTTATATTGAAATATGAACAACTAGAAGATACTATATCCAGTTAAACATAACTTGAAAATTCATGTATAGCAATCTCATTTTAAAATAATGTAACTTCATAATGATCTATTTCAAATGGTCATCATGATTTATTATGCTTGGCGTCCTTTTATTGGTTCTTTTTAAGTTTTTACAAACATTTAAATATTAGTTTCCCTGGAAGATACTAATATGTGTTCATTATGTATTTCTGCTTCTTTTAGGTAATATACTTTCAGAATCACATAATTCTTTTTTTCAGTGTATGAGTTTTAGAGGAGGAAATTCTAGAAGTTTTGGTAGAGAATAAACAAAGCTAGTGTAAATTACACTCTTTCATCTTTTTAATTTTTGGCTACCAATTTTGACTAAGGTGACTTGCCTACATATAGAATTGAAATTGATAATGATCTTTTCTGTAACTTCTCAACTCTGGCTCATATAGTGTGAGAGCAGTTGTAGGTAATACATAAACGTTTTGTAAATGTTGGACATAGTTTTGCTCCAATAAAACTTTATTTACAAAGACAAGCAGCGGCCATATTTGGCCTTGAAGTTATAGTTTGCCAGCCTCTAGATTAGACTTTAAGGTGAAATAAAACTCTTCACTATATTATTTTTGTATTAGTTGTTACATTATTTTGTATTAGTTGTTACATTTTTCTTTTTGCTTTGTGTAAATTCTATTCTTTTTAACTCCATGTTGATGTGTCCCCTTTAATTTCACACTTTTATTTACCCTTTTTTGGTGGGGGAGGTACCGGAAATTGAACTCAGGGGTACTTGGCCAGTGAGCCACATCCCCAGTCCTATTTTGTATTTTATTTAGAGACAGGGTCTCACTGAGTTGCTTAGTGCCTCGCTTTTATTTATTTATTTTTTTAAGTTGTGGATGAACCTTTATTTTTATTTATTTTTATGTAGTGCTGAAGATAGAACCCATTGCCTCACACATGCTAAGCAAGAGCTCTACCACTGAGCCACAACCCCAGCCCATTGCCTCACTTTTGCTGAGGTTGGCTTTGAACTCATGATCCTCCTGTCTCAGCCTCATGAGCCAGTGGGATTACAGACGTGCACCACTGCACCTGGCCTTTATTCACTTTTTTTGAGTGCCATTATTCTTTTATATCTTTAGTTTCTTTTCTAGACATCCTCATATATCTTTCCAACCCTGTTATCAAGACTTTTCCAATCTAATTAATCAAATATTTATTGGATTTCTAGAGAGAATAATAATAAAGAAATGAACATGCTGGATATTAAAAAATGATAAGCCAAGCCAGGGTGTGGTGGCGCACACCTGAAATTCTGGTGATTGGGGAGGCTGAGGCAGAAGGATTGAAAATTCAAGGAAGGCACAGCAATCAAGCGAGACCTTATCTCAAAAAAAAAAAAAAAAATGAGGAGGGCTGGGGATATAGTTTAATGGTAAAGTGCTCTTGTGTTCAATCCCCAATACCAAAAAAGAAAGGAAGGCAGTCAGGCAGGCAGGTAGGCTTCAGCTGACTATTAAAAGGTTGGAGAGAAATTAAATATCAGAGGATATTCTTTGTGACTCCATTTGGTATAAAACAAAATGTTTTTCCTACTCTCACACTTAGTTCTACACTGAACTCTTCACCTCTGGTCATCAAAATGTATATGGTTTCAATAAGTCATTTACAAGTGGAAGCTCACATGTTACCTCCCTCTTTCATTTCTTCCGCCAAATAAGGAATCCCACCATGGACTGGTCATTTTCAAGATCATTTCCCGGAGCAAGGTGCTAAAGATATGGTTTGCTTTTCTCTTGGGAGTTTATGTCTTTGAATTTTATTTTTCTTCCCTGTGGTAAGATAAAGTGTCAATGGGTGCAGACTTGCCCTTGAAAGTCCTGAGGCCAGAGGTCTACACCAGCTTTACCCAGGTATTCTGGCAAATGGGCTCCTCTCTGACTGGTTGACTTGCTTTTTTTTTTCTTTGTGACTCCATTTGGTATAAAACAAAATGTTTTTTCTACTCTCACACTTAGTTCTGTACTGAACTCTTCACCTCTGGTCACCAAAATGTATATGGTTTTTCTCCCTATGAACAACCAATTCTCCAGTGTACACCAACTGAATGTCCTATAATTCAATTCAGTTATCATACTAACTATCTGGAGATAGCATCAGATCCCACAGGTTGACAGTTCAGTCCTACAAGACTATGCCCATTTCAGATGCTATTTGCAAGCCTCAAGTTGTGACCTGTACTTGTAACAGGCAAGCTCTGAATCTTAAGTTCCCACTCCCCACTCTTGCATTCAATTAATAAAGCTAGGGTGGTTCATAGAACCGAGGGAAACACATTTACCCTTTTCTTTAAAATACTACAGATAACAGCCAAACAAAAGAGATGCATAGAGCAAGGTCTATGGGAAAGGGCACAAAACTTTCTGGGCACACCACTCTCCCAGTACCTCCATGTGTTCAGCAATGTAGAAGTTCTCCAAACCCTGTCCTTTGGAGTTTTATGAAGGCTTTATTATGTAGGCATGGTTGATAAATCCTTGATCATTACTAATGAAATCAACCTTCAAGCCCTTTCTCCTCTCCTTGGAGGTCAAGCAGGATGTGCGGATGTGGTTGAAAGTTCCAGTACTCTTATCACATATTTGGCTCCTCAAGCTGTCTTGCATCCTACTAAGGTTACCTCCTTCGAACAAAAGATTGTCCTATCACCTAGGAAATTCCAAGGGGTTTAGGAGGTCTAGGAGCTCTATGTTAGGAACCAAGGGCAGAGACCAAATGTGTATTTCTTATTATATTGCAGTATCACAGACCCTTCCAGTCTTTTCTGGCCATTGACTTAGGCAAGTATGAACACAGGAGATAGGAATAGCAAGCCACCCAACTTTTTTGGATTATAGACTATCTTTAAGCTTCAATGCATAGATAAAGGAGTCTTCCATGGAATTTCTGTTAGCTCATTAGGGACATAATTTGGGATTTGGAATTAGGATTTAAAAAAAAAAAGCAGACTGAATCAGCACTTATTTTTCTTCTGTGCACATATTTTCCTATGTAAGATAGATGGCCTCTAATGATTGCATCTTAAAATAGTTACAGCAGACCAAGTGAGTATATGGACAGGGTACTGGATCTGAAAGCAAAGTCATATGTGCTGAGAGTGAGCCCCTGCAGTGGGGTAGAACTGCCCTGCCTGTATTATGCCTTCTGCAAGGTAGGCAATCCAAGAAAAATGACAGCCTGTATTCAGCAAGTAGGGTCAGGAGTTATCAGGGATATTTGGAGAACAGGTGAGTCTGCCTCGGTTTTCCCAGGCTGCATGAATGAGTTCTCTACAAAAATTTAAACTTTCGCATCCTAGTTTTTATTTATTTATTTTTTTAACCAGTTCCTGATATCTGGTGCTAGAATTTATTTCTAAAGTCAAAGTAAGATCACACTAAAATAAACAGGTATCCAGGATACCAGTTTTTAGCTTCTTGTTGGATTATATAGTATTTACTTATTCTTGCTTCAGGAGAAATCAGGCACATCTCTAAGTCTTAAGTACTTGTCATGGAAGTATCCATGTACTAAATGGTTTGGCCACAGTGGTATGACAGAAGGCATGAAGGGAACAGAGAGGAGGGATGAGAGTGTTACGGTATAGGGACTATGTTGTCATGTGGAATAAAATAGGGGAAATCTCAATGGAATCATTAAAATACAGGGACTAAAAGGAAAGTAAAGACCTAGCCCCATAGCACTCTGGTTCTAGTAATCGGCTTTTTTGAAGGCAGAGGAAAAATTAGACAGTGAATAAAATCACAGCATTTAATATGTGAAATGTTCTAATTGGATCTTGAAAGGTGACCACCAACTTGAAAAAGAAGAGGATCGGCTTTAAAAACAAACCTCAGACTGTGTGGTGAGCAAAGATGTGCCAGAGGACATAGGTGTTCAAGGAGCTGAGCCCAATGCACTGGGATCAGACTCTAATACCTAAGCAGAGAGCACTTCTGATGCCCATAGGATGCTCTAGAACACAGGGACAGGACAGGAGGAAAAGGACCAAACCCCTTTGGGCCCTGTATATCTGGGGCTCCCCCAAACTGGAATTCTGTTCACTGGCGTTTTGTGGAGGCACAGGGGAACCAGCCCAAGTTGGGAATAAATTCCATGAGTGAAACTGGATCTCTTAAAGAAACAAGGGAAATTTCCATTTATAGCAGATTTTGTTCATTATTGTAAATAGAAGTGTTCTAGAGCCTTAAAGAATTGAAAAAGGAAATTTAAAATATTTAAACAGACATAAAAGGCTTTGGGGAAGACTTAGGGACCAGGGCTCCCATTCTCTTTTAGTCAAGTCTCCTTTGTTCCTTTCCTCCTCCCGCTTTAATTTAATTTGTAGTACAACATGATTAATTTTGAATGCTTTGAATCATCATTTAAAAGTCTGTGCTAAGATAGAAATTTCTAAGCAAATCAATTTATGAGTAAAAAACTTGAGGTTTCATGGTAAATATTAATATTTACCATAACTAATATTATGTGCATAAAAGTCAATCCAAATGAAAGAATAAGTTAAGGTTGTAAAAGAATATGGTTTACTCATTTTTCTCCCTTAAAACCATACAGGTAATATATGCTTTGAACACTAAAAATGATGAGCATGAATCTGCAATTCAAGCCCTAAAAGATGCTCATGAAGAAGAAATCCAACAAATTCTTGCAGAAACAAGAGAAAAAATATTGCAATATAAAAGCAAAGTAACAGAGGAGTTAGAGCTTAAGAGAAAGATTCAAGTTTTAGAAGCATCCTTAGAAGATCATATAAAAATGAAGCAACAGGCTTTAACAGAATTTGAAGCGTATAAGCACAGAGTTGAGGACATGCAACTTTGTGCAGAAGCCCAGCATGTCCAACGCATAGTAACCATGTCTAGAGAAGTTGAAGAAATTAGAAGGAAATTTGAAGAAAGATTACGGAGCTTTGGACAGCTCCAAATACAGTTTGAAAAAGACAAACGATTGGCATTGGAAGATTTGCGGACTGCTCACAGAAGGGAGATGCAAGAGCTGTTAAAGTCACAGCAGGATCACAGTGCCTCAGTAAACAAAGGGCTGGAGAAGACAGAGGAACTACACAGGCTGGAGGTGGAGGCCTTAAACAAAACACTTGAAGAGCTAAGGCTTGAAAAGAAAAAACTCATTGAAGATTATGAAGGCAAGTTGAATAAAGCTCAGTCTTTTTATGAACGTGAACTTGATACTTTGAAAAGGTCACAGCTTTTTACAGCAGAAAGCTTACAGGCTAGCAAAGAGAAAGAAGCTGATCTTCGAAAAGAATTTCAGGGACAAGAAGCAATTTTACGAAAAACCATAGGAAAATTAAAAACAGAATTACAGATGGTTCAGGATGAAGCTGGCAGTCTTCTTGACAAGTGCCAAAAACTGCAGATGGCACTGGCCACAGCAGAGAGCAATGTTCAGGTAAGTCAAGAGTTGTATTCCACACATGAATTCTTTCTCTTTTCTCTTTTAAATATATTTATTTTGTAGACTGGAGAGCACCCTAGCTAGTTTAGCATCAGCTTCTTTGCATTCTCATAATTTAAATTTTTCTTTTTTCCATTTTTGCTTTTTCCTTTGTGAGAAAAATCAATGAAGTGATGATTTTTATTACCCTGAACCTGTTCTGTCAGAATCTCAGACATCTAGGGCCTAGAAAGATAAGCTTAAAATTCTATAGATTATTTATGAAGGTATTTTATTTAAATAACATGTTAATATTTTCCTAAGCAGTTTGGGAGAGTTAAAACATTGGGCTTAGGGTTTAATTATGTTTTTTCTTTCCTCTTCCAATGGTCTGCCCATCAAACAAAAATTAATTGTTTTAATAGTTCTTGAAAATAGCTAAAAGTCTCCACAAGTTTTATCTCATTAACATAGAAAGTTTAAAACTTTTAAAAATATCTATGTAGCATAGAATGGATTAGAAAGGGTAGAATAGTCTTTCCTGACTGGGGCATATAATTTGTGCAAATAAAAAGTTATAAATGTCACCATTGTGTACAGATAGATCTAAAACTCTAGGTATAGTTAAGTAGGACTTTTCAACAAGAGAAAGCTTATGCTTATAATTTAAATAAAGGATTTAGCTTAGTGTCATTTTTGCATTTTAATATGTCTCTTCAATCTTTCTTAGGTTCTTCAAAAACAGCTTGATGATGCCAAGGAGGGAGAAATGGCCTTATTAAGCAAGCACAAAGAAGTGGAAAGTGAGCTAGCAGCTGCCAGAGAACGTCTACAACAGCAAGCTTCTGATCTTGTCCTCAAAGCCAGTATGTCTGACCATAATTTGTTATAATGCTCAGCTAAAACCAACACTAAAATATTCTTTCAAGACAAAATTTGAATATTTAACAATTTTTTATGATTTAAAATTTAAACATTTTACTAATATTTTTAAAAAATATTTATTTTTTAGTTGTAGTTGGACACAATACCTTTCTTTATTTTACTTATTTATTTTTATGTGGTGCTGAGAATCGAACCCAGGGCCTTGTGCTAGACGAGCACTCTACCTCTGAGCCACAACCTCAGCCCCATTTTACTAATATTTTAAAATTATTTGGATTCTATGTTAAAGGACTCTGTTATCTTATTAGTGAACCATAAGAAGCAAATGATTTTTAGGAATATATTTTTGTAGAAAAACTAAGATTTAGCTGGTAAAATTACCAGTAAATAAAGCAGTAAAAGAAAAATCAAACATTCTAAGAAGACTTTCATCCTTTAAAAGCCTACATTTTAGAGCATTTAAATCAGTTGAACTATATGCAACTTTAATTTGACTTGTTATTAAGGATTGTTTTACATGTTAAAACTGAATTGTCCATTCTCAAGTGGCTGAGTTGCTCATTTCATAGCCCTTACTAGAGGAGGTAGCTGACCTATGTCAGATCCGAAGTTGTGTTTTGTTGTAGTGTTTAATGTGCCCAGCAAAGCTGATTAACACCTTTTCTGATTTTCATTGGCTTATTGATAAATCACAGATTTCTCTTCCCACAAAGTACTAATTTTTAATAACCTTCAACATGCATCAGGATCACCTGGAGGGTTTGTGAAATCAATGATGCTTGGCTTCATCCCTAAGAGTTTTTGACTGGGTCTGGGGCAGGCTTTTTTCTCACATGATGTTGGTCCTGCTGGTACTTTGAGAACCACTGCATTAAACCATGCTTTCTATGAGCCGCTGTTTTCAAATTCACATCTGCTCTCTCGTTTTCCTCCCCTTCCCCATACATTTTCACTGCCATTTATTTTATTCTTTCATAACTTTGCTGTTCTTACCTGTTTTTTTAATCAGTCTCTTGTCTAAAACAAATTCAGTCTCAACGAAACTGCTATCTGCCACCTTTGTTCCCTGCATATAAATTCTTTCTCTGTTAAAATTAGAAAAAAGAAGAAATTAGAAAAGAACAAATTGCTCATTTGGCTTCATAGTGTTAGTCTGTGCATCCTCTTACCTTGTTTTACTCCCAGGAGTCTTTTACATGAACCAATGAAGAGTTGCTTCTACTTCAGCTTGTATAGCCTACAATCTTAAAAAAGAAAAAAGACAAGGCAGAAACTTATTAGGTACAGAGAGCAACTTCAGTGAAATGAAAATGGACTTTCTAATTTAAATTATTTTAGTTGGATAAGAAACATTCCCATGGTAAATATTTCCATTTTATACAGTGAAGAAACCAAAGAAAAAATTGTACATGCAGACCAATTTATTTTACTTAGGTATAAAGTACAATTGTGTAATTAAATACAAACTGTTTAGTATCACAGTAACTGATTTCTAAATTGAAAGGATTTTCTTTTGGGGGGGGCATAGGTCATATTGGAATGCTTCAAGCAACTCAAATGACCCAGGAGGTTACAATTAAAGATTTAGAATCAGAAAAATCAAGGGCCAATGAGAGATTATCTCAGCTTGAGGAGGAAAGAGCTTTTTTGCAAAGCAGAACTCAAAGTTTGGATGAAGAGCAGAAACAGCAAATCCTGGAACTAGAGAAGGTAAAGAATAATAAGATACCCTACCTCAAAAGGGGAGGGGAGAAAGGTCAGTTTTGCTTGTTTTCAGATTTAAAGTATTTGGAGTGTTTACTCCTACTTCCACAGCAACAGTGCATTTCTTCTGCAGTTGTTTTTATTTTTATCTTGAGGAAATTTACAAAGCTAGAGTATTCCATAATATGTATATATTCAAAATACTTGGGTAATAATCTAGAATATAAAAACTTAAGACATTTCAACCTATTTCAAGCCAGAAACTGAGTGAACTCTGATTTCAATGGAAGGTGCATTTAGTTATAATCAGATTTCTTTTTGTGTTAATTTTTTTTTCAATACTGGAATTGAACCCAGAGCCTCAAGCATGCTAGGCAAGCACCCTACCACTGAGCTACATCACCAGCCCTTTTTTTAAACTTTATTTTGAGATCTCACTAAGTTGCCCAGGCTGACTTCAAACTTTCTGTCCTCTGTCTCTTCCTCCAGAGTAGCTGGGATTATAGGTATATGCCACCATGTTTGTCTACACATACACCTAGGAAATTTTTATACAACTAAAAAGGATGACAAGCATTAAGTTTTGAAAATTCATATATCAGCAAATCAAATTTCTAGATTAAATAAGTCAGATGTTATTTGTAGAGTCATTGCTGAATATTTTTGTTTTTTTTTCAGATACCCATAGTACCATGTAGGAGTTTCGGTCATCCTTTCCTTTCTCCTTCTCTCAACAACTTAATATATGTGCATACACACAACCTTTCGCCTTCCATCCAGTTAAGCTCCGTTCCTGTGTATTCTCACAACACATGATGGACACCCCTTTCATAGGACTTATAAAATTCTCAGTGTCTTTTAACTTTTTTTGCCACTAGACTTGTGAGTGCTTAAAGGATATACAATTGGAACTCAAAATTTTATTGAATAGTATCACTTGAGATGGTAATGAGTGAACCATTTTGCATGCTACTTTGACATACAGGAGGTCAATCTCTTTTAAACTTCCTTTTTTCGATTTATATTTGAGTCTAACTTAATAATGATATATTTTACTTCTTGGTTTAAAATATTTTATTTTACCTCTGTCACCTTGTTACTTTCTGAGTATACCAGTGATCTATTCTTATATTTCAAAAGTAGATCTCATAGCATTCAGTTTATTCAAGTTTACATATTTGTAAGGTGTTCAAATACTAATAGCGGTAATAGAAACTACTGACCTTTATTTGTTTTAATTTTAGAAAGTAAATGAAGCAAAGAGAACTCAGCAAGAATATTATGAAATGGAGTTAAAAAACCTGCAAAATAGATTGGAAGGAGAGATGACTCAATTAAATGAAGCCCATTCTAAGACTTTGGAAGAATTAGCCTGGAAGCACCATATGGCGATTGAGGCTGTCCACAGCAATGCAATTAGAGATAAGAAAAAACTGCAAATGGTAAGTAAAAATTCAGTTTATCATTGTGTTGTAAACCGATGAGAAATCCAACATAGCCTATATTATAGCAGAATAATTTGCTTCATTTTGATGGTTCCTGTCCTATAATCATTCTTCAAATCATAGTTCAAATAGAATCATACATGAAGTTCTTGACATGGTACATAGTTTATTGAACTGATATATGGCATTGTTGTTTTAGTAGAAATACTGTCTTTGATCTTGAACTGTCTCTTCATGAGACAACCAACTAAGTGTACCCTTCAGGAAGCCTCAACTAGTTAAAGCATCTATTTTCCTTTCCTGTGAAAATTATTTTTGTGTGTTTTTTTCTTTCTTCCTCAACTAAGTCGTCAGCTTGCTAATGATTCTACGTAACAGTATTGGCACAGTAAAAAAAAAATGAAATATATGACAGACTTTGGCCTTACATGGAGCTCTTTGCTTATTAGCCACATTACCTTGAGCTCAAGATATATTTGTTCCTCTGAGGCTCAAGATAAAGTGTTGGGTTTCCAGACATATCCTAGCACATGATGATGAAAAAATACTGGTTATTAGTATTTCTTATCATGTGGCAGATACTGCCATGATGTTGTACATATATTTTTTCATTTAAGGACATTTTACTGAAGATGGGATGTGCTTAGTCATGTGTCATGTGCAACTAATGAAACTCAGGCCTTGAACTCAGGTCTCATGTATCCCAAACTCCAAGACATTTAAACACCACCTCATGTAGGCATTTATTAATGATGACTATTACCTTATATATAGTAGCATTTTGGAGTTTAAAAAGAGCTTTCCTACAGTATTTTCCTTAATACTCAAGATTTGGAGATTACTATTATTTTTATTATACAGATAGTATAATATGTTTAATAAACCCAAATGCAGAGCCACAAACATGGTAAGTAGAACAAGTGGAATATGGATTTAGATCTTCTGCTTCAGTGTTCTTTCCTTTTGTGTCACAACTAGTTGGAAAAAATATTTCAAGACCTTAAAAATTAAAAATTCAAGTAAGACTTTCCCTCAGAATGTTGTTTCTGCCTAAGCTTACTATTATGTATTTATATAGCTAAATACTTAGTACTCTATGCACACTCACTATTCCAGGACTGATGTGTGCTGCTTTAATCATGTGTGCTGAGTGGCTCTGGATGTTCAGGATTTTATTGTAAAATGATAAATGGTACTTGCTACTTCTGTAATTTCTTTGATAGCTATCTTTTACTATTGTTTTTCATTTCAGTATCCCTCTCACTGTACCCTTCTCCTTTCTTATTGGAACATTTAAATGGTGTGTGTCTTGCTTTTAGTCTTTATATCTCTATATTGCTTTAAGTGCCAGAATCAAATTATCTTTTATCAGTATCATTTTTACTTCATTATTTTACTCTTAATCATTCTTTTATGCATTATATTTTGAGGCCACCTCAGAAGCCTGCCTTAACCCACTTATATTTCTTAAAGCATGATTGCTATAAGATTACTTGATGTTTCCTATATGTGAGCATATTCAAAACATCTGTGGTAGCCTTATTTGTACTCTTCTCTTTGGTCAAAATAATTATTTGTAACTTGCTGCTTCATTTCTCTCCTGCCTTCTTGCTTGTCTGAGTCTAAGCTAAAACCATGTTCCTAGAATAGTTTTTAAAGAATATTTAGCTAAAGATGACTTCTCTGCTCCTCATTGTTAAGTTATCCCAAAGGATTATGTTTTTCATCCTAACTAGTTCACCCACCTGAAAGTGAGTACACAGAGAACCCAAGCAGAGGAGTTGACATGCAAGCTTGAGACTGCACTGCCTTAGAAAGGCAAAGCAGCTCTTGTGTGGTATCTGGAATTTAAGATTTCAGCAAGGTTCTCATAAGAATGACTCATTGTATCTAAACTGTTCATGCATACAATGCCAGATCATAGGTGACCAGCTGCTAACAAAAACCTGGGTACCAAGTATTTCATGAACTTTCCTGGTAGACAGCGTTTCACAGTGAGTTGTCACAAATTGCTACGAAATTGTATTCAATGTGAAAGGGTTCTTGGAGCTTTGCCTGTCTCCTATAGACTTCAGCTCACATTCCTTTCCCTTTGCTGGTTGTACTTTGATTTAATCATTCAGAGCCACTGTACAAGGAGTCCTGTGAGTACTCCTAGATATCACCACGCCTCAGTTTGTCATGGGTACCCTAAAATTGGATCCATTTATTACTCTACTCCCCTCACATTGTAAGGATGTTGAATGTCTTGTGACATTCCTTGCTCTTTTTTGCCTCCATGGTGTATCACTTGCTTTTTCCTCTGCCTTTGCATTCCCTTCTTACTCCACCTCCTTTTCCTTCCTGCTATAGCCCTTTTAAACCATACTTAGGAATTGCTTTCTTTCTAAAGGTTTCCCTACCAAACAACCTTATCAGTTCCCCATCCATATACTCCTGTACCCTCTCTGTATGTCTAATTCTAACTAATATCTTTAATTACTTGATTTTTAAAATTTATTTATTTATTTTAATTAGGTATATATCACAGCAGAATGCATTTTGATTCATTGTACACAATTGCAGAAGAACTTTTCATTTCTCTGGTTGTACATGATGTAGCGTCACACCATATGTATAGTTGTACATGTACCTAGGGTAATGATATCCATCTCATTCCACCCATCTTTCCTGTCCCCATGTATCCTTCCCACTTCTCCCTCCCTTTTGCCAAATCAAGGTACCTACCTCCATATTCCACCCCACCCCCCCAGTTATGGCTCGCATTCACTCATCAGAGAGAACATTCAGTCTTCGTTTTTTGGGGGATTGGCTTACGTCACTTAGCATGATATTCTCCAACTCTATCCTAATTTACCTGTAAATGCCATAATTTTATTCTCTTTTAATGCTGAGTAATATTCCATTGTGTATATACCACAGTTTCTTTATCCATTCATCTATTGAAAGGCATCTAGGTTGCTTCTACAGTTTAGCTATTGTGAATTGAGCTGCTATAAACATTGATGTGGCTGCATTACTATAGTATGCTGATTTTAAGTCCTTTGTGTATAGACTGAGGAGTGAAATAGCTGTGTCAAATGGTGGTTCCATTTCAAGTTTTCTAAGGAATCTCTCCATACTGCTTTCCAGATTGGTTATACCAATTTTCAGTCCCACCAGCAATGTATGAGTGTGCCTTTCCCCCCGCATTCTCATCAACACTTACTGTTGTCTGTATTCTTGATAACTGCCATTCTGACTGGTGTGAAATGAAATGTTAGAGTAATTTTGGTTTATGTTTCTCTAATTACTAGAGATGTTGAACATTTTTTTCCATATTACTTAATTCTTGAGCTTATTAAAGGCAGCCACTATGTCTTAATTCGTTTGTTTCCCAAGTATTAAATAGCACACCTGGCAAAGAGTAGGTAGTCTTGAGTAAGTATCAGTTTTACTGGTTTTGCTATTCAGTGTCTTAATTTTGTACTTGCTAATACTCTACTGTTATTTCTATATTAGACATCTGGGTTCTAGAAGTGTTACTGGATTTGTTTAAATGTAAACCTAAAAGAATTCTGAATTCTGGAGAATAGTAATGTTTTCTTTATTCATCAAATTATCATTGAAATCATACTTCTCAGTTTTTTTACTATAACAATTTAAACCAGCTATATATTCTTTCTATTCAAAAAACTACTTAATGGGTGTATCATATATGATTGAATGATAGAATCTAAGCTACTGGGATTGAGCAGAGTCACTGTTAATTCTGATACTGTTTAAAGGTAAGATTAATTTGAAAATTGTCAAAATATAAGACAGAAAAGTCTTTCTTGGAATCTTGAAAGTTTATAATGTTTGCTATATTGTTTATTTTCTAATATTTCTTTTTCTAAGGAATTAGAGGAACAATATAAAAAGGAAAAACTAAACCTGGAAGAGGATAAAAATCAGCTTCAACTAGAGCTAGAAAACCTGAAGGAAGCCCTGGAAGACAAGCTGAATACAGCTAATCAAGAGGCAAGAATTCTTTAGGCATATCCCCTACATTATATATGTTTTTAATAATAACTTACTCTGGTGACACTGTATAGGTAGTGAAGGTAACATATCTAGGACAAAAATAATTTAAAAATCTTGATGCTTAATTTTTCATGAGTTTTTTATTAGAAGGTAAAAATTTACTATCAAAAACATTAAACCAAGTTGTTTTTCTAGGGAAGAATATTACCTTACTGGGAAATAAATGGAAGAGGCACGTCTTCTCTTTTGCAAAATCTTCCCTACCGTATGTCTGGTTTTTAAAAAGAAAAATGTTTTAAGTTCTATATAATGGTATCTAAAATAAATTTTAAGGGGCTGAGATTGTGGGTCAGTGGTAGAGCATTTGCCTGGCATGTGTGAGGCCCTGGCTTCGATCCTCAGCACCGCATATAAATAAATAAAATAAAAGATCCATTGGCAACTAAAAAATATTAAAAAATAAAATAAATTTTAAATTCTCAATGAAAATATCATTTATCCTGGAAAAGAAAAGGATATGATAAAAATGCTATCACAAATTTGTGAATAAAATCAATATGAAGACTTTTTTAAAATCACAACATTTTTCATCCCTTCTCTTTCCCTCTTTTGCCAGGTTGAGGCTATGGGCTAGAAAGGCCTTCATCCTGTCTTCTTCCCTTTCTTTCCTTTAATCCTTCATGTAGCTTGTTGTGTGATCGTCCTCAGACTCTTGACACTTCTTATGTCTTCTGACCTCACCAGTGTCATCTTCCCCAATAGCCTTCAAGTCCGCTTTCTCATCACTCCACTTCTTCCCACAGAAACCACACCAAAATGCATGAGTGTCCCTGAGCAGGCTATGAATTTTCACTCAGTGATGTTGAGTTATTTTTTTTTTTAGTTGTAGTTGGACACACTACCTTTATTTCACCACATTCATCCAGAGAAAGAACTAAGTGCTATATTTGAGAAGGATGGAGTAGTACTCAGACTGTTACTAAAATCAGCCTAGCCCATTTTCTATCCAAGGTAATCCACTGCTAGCTTCAGATTTGCACACCTCTCTCAGCAGAACATGATCCTTGGAGTTACTGTATACTGCTCTCATTAGAAGACACTTTACTGACCATCTGTGTTTCTCATGCAGGCCCGCAGGGTTCTTTTCTCAATTCTAAATGGCTTATCTAAGTGTTCCTCCAACCTACATTCCTTAATTTCACTGAGGAGAGATCTAGTAAATATGTAACTTATGTTCCTTCTGGCTACATTTTCAATTATGTTTTAGCACCCTACTCGTGTTTTGATGTCACTTTAGATTGACTCCCCAAGCATCTGCCTGGCTCATTCCTCCATATGCTTATACTTTCCCTTCAGTCTGGGACATCTTTTCTCTTGTCCTGCTTCGCTGACTAGGATCTCCAGAGATAGTAAACATTCTTATTTGGCTTCCTGCTATTAAAGGAACCATATCAACATTTCCCAGTTAACCCAAAATGCTTCTCCAGAGTTCTGTTTTATAAGAGCCCTTTATCAGGTCAGGGAAATTCTCTTCCAATTCTAGTTTTATAATTTAAAAAAAAAATCATGAATAGATGTTGAGTTTTCTATATGTATTAAGATCATACTTTTTTCTTAATTAATGTTCTACTTTAATTAGTTTTCTCATATTAAATCAACATTGAATTAATACATTTTCGATATAATGTAAGATTCTGTTGGTTAATACCTGTTTGGGGATTTATGAGCCCGTATTTGTAATATTGCTTTGTATTTTTCCTTTTTCATGTCTTCCTTTTCTGGTTTTCAAGTCAAGATTATACTGGCCTCATAAAATTAAATAAAACACATGCCTTCTTCTGTTCTCTGGAAGAGTGAGATTGAAATTATTTTTTAACCTCATTTGCATTGTGGTTAGAAATTGTGGTTTGTATGAAAGCAGTTTTTGAAACTTGTTTAAATTAGCTTTGTGACCTAGAACATAAAGGATTCTGAATGATTTCAGTCAATTAATGCAGTGAATACTATGTCTATCCATAAAATTAAGATTTTAAACTATTTTTTCAAATCTTCTCTATTCTTTCTGATACTTATCTCCTTAATTGATCAGTTATTATAGACCAGTATTATGATGGTGTATTTATTTGTTTCTCCTTAGATTTATAAGCTTTGTTGTACGCATATAAAAGAAAAAATATTTTAGATACTTAGTAAATCACACTTTTTAGCTTATGTTGTATTATTTGATATTGTATAACCTGCTTTCTTTTAGTTTGTATGGATAGTATATCTTTTTCCATGCTTTGTCTTTCACTTTTCTGTGTGTGCCTCTTGCAAACCACATATGACTACAAATCTAGTCTGAAATGTTTTCCTTTTAAATCAGAGTTTATTTCATTTTAATGGGAGGACTAGTAGATATATCTATGCAGAGAGAAGGAAAGAATTAGAAGATACTTTATAAAGACTAAAAGAGAGGATTTTAGAAAAAAAAATTAATATGCTCTTCTATAAGTTTATGGATCTTAATTACCCTTATAAGTGGTATAGCCTAAAAATAGACTATATGAATTTAAATGATAAATTCAAAAATGCTGAAATCATAATATGATATGAAGTGACTCCAGCATCTCAGTTGAAGCATAAGTATGCTATCCTTTGAAATTTTATTTGGGATTGCCTTCAGAAACAGAATATTAGACTGAAGAGTTAATAATCTGACCATTATGGTATTTTAAATGTTCTTCTAATATTCAAGTTTATAGGTTTTCTTCTGAACATAAGTTTTTATGCATATATATGTATATACACATATACATATATAGGTATATGTATTTCAGTATTTTCTTAAAATGGAAATAATTTGATTTTATTATAAATGTTACTTCATAATTAATACATTGTCTGATACATGGTAACACATCAATAAATATTTGTGAATGAAACATTAAATTAACACATATTACTGAAAACTAAATCAACTTTCTTGTAAGTAAGAGTATAGTTTTCTCTTGTTGTGTAACAAATTTCCAACAAGTTTCATGACTTAAAATGGCACGTCTTTGTTATCACACGGTTTTGTGGGTCAGGAGTCCAGTTGTGGGTTAACTGCATCCACTGCTCAGGATCTTACTAGGCTGAGATCAGAGTGATAGCTGAGGCCACAATCCCACCTGGAGTGAGAGGTTCTTTTTCAAGTTCGCTGGTTACCAGAAATCATTTCCTTGTGGCTGTGTGAATGAGATCTCCATTTTTGTTTTATTTTTATTTTTTTAGTTGTAGATGAACACAATATCATTATTTTATTTATTTATTTTTATATGGTGCTAAGAATTGAACATAATGCCTCATATGTGCTAGGCAAGTGCTCTACCACTGAGCCACAACCCCAGACTGAGGTCTCCATTGTCTTGCCAGCTCCTGGCCAAGGAACTGCTCTCAACTCTGAGAGTCTCCATTCCCAACACCCTCCTCCCCAAGTGACCAGGTGAAGCATATTTCACCCATGAGTCCCAATATGCTGAGGAGCCCAGGGTATCAGAGATGCTACTACTAAACCTTGCTCATCAGGTTAGTGTTTTTCCTGGAAAACAGATATATAATTTTATTTAGGTTTTTTTTTTTAAATTATTGCCTTTCTATCTAGCTCTTGCTCTAAAGATGATCTTTTTAGAAAAAGAGCTGAGTTATAGTCAGAAGATGAATTGTGTGGGGAGGGTGTTGGTAATTAGAGTTATTAGATAAATGACTTAAGATGCTATTAAATTAGGGCAGGCAAGAAATGATTTACAAATCATTATTGATTGATAGGCATTACAGGAGGAAAAGTTTATTGGAATGGCAAGACAATGATTTGTTTGTATATGTGACTTCAAACTGATTGTAAGACATGTAGGCTGGAAATGAGTGGAGTTCAGGCCTGGAGGTTAAGAGTAGTCAGTTCCTGAAGCCCTTTAAGTGGAGGACCTCACCAGGTATAGCTGATAAGAAGAAGAGAACCAATATTGAGTTAATCAGGCCAGGAAAAGGTATCAAGGAGGAAAAATCAGAAGTCTACGAATGAAGATTAATAGATATCAGAAAACCACAAAAGCAATATTTAAAAGAGGGGGGAAGTGCCTTGCAATGTCATACAATGCTTGTAGAGTATGAGTCCTGAAAAGATGGCAGTAGGTTGTACAATCACAAGTTCTCCAAGGACCTTTCTATGATTTCAATAGAAAAGTTGGGTTGGAAGCTAGAGTAAATAGATTTAATCAGAATAGTAATGGATGAAAGTGTTCTTTTAAAACTCTGTACATAGAAGAAAAAGGTAAAATTAGATCCTTTTTCAGCCTTGTGCCAAAAATTCCAAAATTACCAAACATCAAAATGAGTGGCAATTTGGATAACATTGTGTCTCTTGGCTCTTGTGTTCTCACAGGAGATTTCTTTTTTTTTCTTTTTAAATATTTATTTCTTAGGTGTAGATGGACTCAACACAATGCCTTTATTTTTATGTGGTGCTGAGGATCAAACCCGGGTCCCGCCGGTGCTAGGCAAGCACTCTACCGCTGAGCCACAATCCCAGCCCCACACGGGAGATTTCAAGCAAGACACAGAACATATTAAACGTAGAGCAAATTTTGTTAGAGGAGAAAGGAAAAACACCCTAAAGGGGTGGGTCATCTCAGGGAGGAAAGTGACATTGCAACCGCTTTGTTCTCTAGTTCTGTTTGTAGAGAGCCCTACTCAGCTACTACCTCTTTTGACTGATAGTAGAATTGCATCAGATTATTAAGTCCCAATATAAATCATCAGGGGGTGGGGAATTTTACTATTATAATGAGATTAAAATGACATGCTAAAAATCTAAAGGCGGCTGTTAGTCACCTTGGCCCATGTTGACCCATTCTAATAATCTTGTTTTATAGATTTTGTGATCATTGGGCTTTGTTTTTAATTATCCTGTCTTCCTGAGTCTGAGAATCTTGAGTCTGTATATATAAAGGTTATAAAAGTCCCCTTTCAGGGTAACTTGTGTTCTTATCAGGGAGAGGTCTTGGACACTGTTATGATTTGGTTATGAGGTTCCCCCTAAAACTTGTGTTAATTCAGGAATATTCAGAGGTAAAATTATTAGATTATGGGAGCTACAACTTAATTGATCCATCCTAATTTGAATGGAATAACTGGGAGTTAACTGTAGGCAGGTGGAGTGTGACTAGAGGAGGTGGGTCACTAGGGCATGCCCTGGAAGGGTTCATTCTCCCTGTGGCCCCTTCTTCCTTCTATTTCTTGGGCACTATGAACCGAGTAGTGCTTCTCCACCATACCCTTCCACCATGATCTTCCACCATGATGTTCTGCCTCACCTTGGACCCACAACAGTGGAATTAGCCCACCATGGATTGAACCTCTGAAACCTGAGCCAAAATAAATTTTTCCTCCTCTAAGTTGTTCTTGTTGGGTATTTTGGACACAGAAATGAAAAGCTGACTAACACAGACATATATTCCTTAGCTCTGAGAATAGCCCTACATATGACAGGTTGTTTGTCAAGGAAAAGTAACATTCTCTGTTGACTTAAGACAGAGTAGGACCAGAATGGCCTTGGGTAGATTGCTTTTCCAAGGAAAACTTGTGAAAGACCAGCATGTAGGCCCTGTCTATTGAATTATCCCCTTAACTTCATGTTCCTACTGCTCATGTCTACCTGCTACCTGTCAATATGGCCTAGCAGTGATCCTGGTACAATTCAAGGTCAATAAAGCAAAGGCATTGGGAGGGGGGGCTTTTCGTAGTTAGATACCTTCATATTGAGAGGCTAAAGGAGATTTTGTTTCTTTTTGATTGCTATTAAGTATACATGAACTTTTTCAGTAACTAACTCATTCATCTATTCCATAAATATTGAATGACTGTTAAGTACTGAAGAACCGTTAGGCACTGTGGTTAAAGTGGTGACTAAGTCAGACTTGGTTCCTGCTATCATGGAGAGAGACATAGAAACAAGTACTTATAAGTCTACCCATATTGCAAAAGGGTGGTAAGTGAGCTTGACAGGATAATAAACAAAGGAAAGCTTATACAAAGGCCCTGAGACATGAGATATTTCTAGGAGTTGTAGAAATGGCAGTATAAATGGAGTATGATAGCAACTGTGCTTTTTGTTTAGTGCTTACTACATTCCAAAGCAAAGTTTTATTTAGCGTGCCCTTTTTATTTTTCTTTCCTTTAATCCTCACAACCCTATGCAGTAAAAAACTAGTTGAAAAGTTGCATAACTTGCCCTCATCCAGTAGTAGGTGGGTAAAGCCAGAAATCCAGGCAATGAGATTTCAGAACTTAATTCTTAACCACAGTGCTTACACTTCCTCTTAGTAAGTATAAAGATCAGAGAAGGATAATTGGCCAAGCTGAGATGGAGATATAGGTAAGGACTATGCCATGGAAAACTTTTAAGCCCTGGGAAATGCTTTTAATATTATGCTAAGAACTGTGGGAAGCAACTGGAAAATGCTAAGCGCAAATATGTGGATGCTTTCCTGAGGTATAGTGCTTATACCTGTGGCCGTATTTGAGATTTATAAATTTACTCTGGTGTTGCAGAAAGTACATGTAGATAGATAGGTATTTCAGGGAGAAGGTTCCTACTAATTGCATTCTCTCAAGGTGCACATTAATAAAAGGAATCTAAATATTGATCCCTATTGCAAATCACAAAAATTCTAGCTCAAACTAGTCCAACAAAAAAGGAAATGTTAGTATTTGGCATGACTACATTCAGAACTGGAACTCTGTTTTTTCTTAAGTTGGATTTGCTGTCTTTCTGTTGATTTCATACTTCAGTCACAGATTCCCTTAGGTACATGTGCAACTGGAAAGGGTCTTTATAGGTACTCCTTTAAAAGGTCCTAAGACTCCTTACTGTGAGTATATAAATTTAATCCACATGCCTGCCCTGAAACATTCCTGATAGCAACAGATTGAGACATCCTAATTAGTTTATAAGTTATAAGTTAGAGTATAAACTCTAACCAAGCTCTGCATACTAGAGTTTGGATTCCCTACTGAGACTATATGGACCAATAGGGAGGGGGAGGGTAGGTTGCCCAGATGCCAAAGAGAGATTTTTATATTGGAAAATAGCAAATATTTTCCACACATATCCATTTTTATTATATTTTAGGAAACATTTTAATCAGCTGTTTGCCACTTACTTTTTATAGTATATTTAATTGTGCAAAATTTTAAAGTTTTTGCCTATTTAAATGTTCATTCTATCTCTAATTAGATTCTTAGTTTCTTTAACATACCTTCTCTTTAACTCTTTATGTGGTAACTAGAACACTGTTCTTTATAAAATGTTTTTCATGTTTCATATTATATATCTGAAATTTTTGTTAGTCAACTGAAATTTTTCTAGATTGTAAAAGAATATTCTTTATGTTGTTAAATTTGATAATTCCTCCCTTATTGATTGTTATTACTTCTCTTTTTTAGTGGTATACCCAGGTCTTGAAATTAGATTTTCTGCTAAGTTAAATAATCTTTGAATTCTATTGTGGCTGCTTTCCTTACAGTCATTCATTCACCATCATGATACATACTTATGGCAAGCCAGAGAATATAAAATGTAGAGAAGATAAAAGTAAGCAACATAAAATAGAGAAAGCAGGGCCATTTAATATAGTTAGTGACAGATAAAATTTTAGAACAGTGTAAACAAATGCTATATGTGAATATGCTAGTATTTTTTTAAAGAGAGAGAATTTTTTAATATTTATTTTTTAGTTTTCAGTGGACACAACATCTTTATTTTATTTGTATGTGATGCTAAGGATCGAACCCAGTGTTTTACAGTGGAAAGCAAACACTCTACCACTGAGCTACAGCCCCAGCCCCATGCTAGTATATATTTTAAATTAAGAAAGAAATTTTTGTGTAAAAATTTAAATTTTTAATATGACTCAAAGTATTTGAACAATCCAACCAAACCAGTTATAACCATGAAAGAAAATAGACCAACATATGCCTAAAGAGGCACTAAACCCATAGAATATAGTGAGTGAATTTTAATAAACTTTCAAGAAACAGGTAATTCTCTTGCTAAGAAAATATTTTAAGATACAGAAAAATTGGGAGTCTCCATATCATTTCATGAGGTTAGCATCCTTTTAGAGACACTAACCAGATAATGTACTGCACCCTTCCCCAGAATTGGTGAGCATATACATATATCAGCATATACTTTCATTGGAGGGCTGTGTGCCTAGAGAGGGCTATGGGTCAGAGAGGTGCTGGAGACCTTTTATCTTAGTTTTCTTTGTGATACCTGTATTTATAATGATAAATATTCTAATAATATTTTAAAATTCCCAGTTTACTTTTTGTAGGATTTTTATAGGCTTGTCCATTTTTTTTTTTTTGGCTTTAAAGTATTTCATCTACATTTTTTTTCAATCTGTATTACAATTTTTATCTTGCTCCAATTCCTTTTTATAGGTATTTATTAAAATGGGGCTTTTATTTCATAGCATTTTCCTAAATAATTTAAGGTCTTATTCATGGATTTAGTTCCTATAATTAGAGGGTAGAGACCTATCTAATCAACAAATTGTCCATTTGCTTGTAATTTCAAGATTACATAAATTCAACTCTTAAAAATTTCACTAGACAAATTTTGTATGGAAACTCAGAAATCACAGTTTATTCTCTAGGATACATACATCAACTTGTCAGTATTGACTTAAATTTATCACCTTTGTAAATAGCAGGAGAACTGGACTAAAATGAAATATATTTAGTTAAAAAATGATTTTAAAATATTTCATGTACTTTTTTTTCAATATTTATTATAATTTTTATCTTGCTCTAAAATTCCTTTTTATCGGTATTTTGTTATATGATAATATCAGGAATTTTCTTAAAACCAAGAGCGTGAGAGATACACCCATTTTTTTTACAAAGTTGTCTTAAAAGGGAAGCTATAAATATGGAGGTCTTTTCAAAAAACAGCAGATGAGACAACGTGAGGGCACATGCCTATAATATAGGCCAGGGGCTTGGGAGGCTGAGGCAGGAGGATGGCAAGTTCAAGGCTAACCTCAGCAATTTAACAAGGCCCTAAGCAATTAGTGAGATCCTGTCTCAAAATAAAAAATAAAAAGGGCCGAGGATGTAGCTCAATGTTAAATTGCCCCAGGGTTAAATTCCTAGTACCCTGTCACACACACACCACACACACACACACACACACACACACACACAAAAAAAACAGATGATAAAGGTTATTATTATTCATACAGTAAAATTAAAACTAAAGAAAAAAACTCTAAAAAAGGAATTGTGAGACTGTTTTGCTAGTCTGTTAAAATGATGCCTATTAAAAGTGTTCCATGTACTTGCAGATTGGCCGCCTCCAAGATCTGGTAAGGAAAAGTGAACAAGGTCTTGGCTCTGCTGAAGGACTCATTGCTAGTCTTCAGGACTCCCAGGAAAGGCTTCAGAATGAACTTAACTTGACTAAAGGCAGACTGAAGGAAACCAAGGATGTTCTAGTAAATGTTGAGGTAATTGCATAATTCTAATGTAAGATGAACATCAGCAAAATAAAAAATATAATTTAGCCACTTTGATTACGACTTATTTAAAATATCAAATTGTATGTAATTAGTGTATTGATTCCTAGGGCTATTATACAAAGTACTACAAACCTGGTGACTTACAAAAATAAAAACTTATTATCTCACAGTCTCTAGGCTCAGAGTCTAAAATCAGGTATTGACAGAACTGTCCTCCCTCTTAAATCTCTAATGAAGGATCTTTCCTATCCTTTTCCAGCTTCTTGTTGCTCCAGGCATTCCTTCACATTTGGCTGCCATAATTTCAGTCTCTCTCTGTTTTCACATTGTCATTTTGTAGGAATGGGTCATATTGGATTAAGGGTGACCTCATTTTAATTGAATACATCCCTAGTACACAAAAAAACAAAGCAACCTCTCTTCCTCCAGCTCAAAAAATTCTAATAAATAATAAATGCAGTCTAATAAAATGCAGTTCTTGGAGGCAGAGGACTTGAAAAGAACAGGTGGATTAATTCAGTTTTCAATAGTTACTCTTTAATAACCAGGTCAGCAATGTTGAATAGCAGTTCCCATGACTGACTTACTTACTTTTTTTTTTTTTCATCTGGATATACTCCTCAAAACCTGCTGTACCACATGCTGTTAGGAATTGGGTGGTCCAGAAAAGGTCACCGTGGTAGCAAGAAGATGGACCATCATCTGCTTTCCTACTACCTAGTGTCCTTAGAGTGGCTGCACTGCTGGCAGAGGTCCATGATTGCCTGTGATGTCCAAATAGGTCATCTCTAGCCTGTGCTCCAGGGAGCTACATGATCTATGCTTATCAACAGGGATTTCATATATATCATATTATATTACCAGAACAAATGAGCATGTGGACTACTGTCTATAAAAATAGTAGCCTAAGTTCCACATAATTCTTTTAATCAATTTAGAGAGATGCAGCTATGTGCTTAAGCTTTGAAAAAATAATGCTGTTTGAAATGAAAATGAATTTGAATAATATAACTGTGATGTTGTATATGCAAAAATTATTCAATAATCAATCTGTTGTTAAGTACCCATGGTAAGAAATGTTTAGTTTATATGATTAATGCCGACTTTGAACTCTTTTTTCAATTTTTTTTTATTTTTTAGTTTTGGGTGGACACAATATCTTTTTTTATTTTTATGTGGTGCTGAGGATCGCACCCAGTGCCCCACGCATGCCAGGCGAGTGCACCACCACAGCCATGTCCCCAGCCCCCAACTTTGAACTCTTTAAATAACTTATACTATTTTATACTACTCATCTTAATAGAGTTTATTTATTTATTTTATACTATTTATCTTAATATAGTTTAGACAAGCTTTAAAACATAAATGTGTAGGGCTGGGGATTCAGCTCAGTGCCAAAAGTGCTTGCCTAGCATGTGTGAGACCCTAGGTTCAATCCCCAGCATTGAAAATAAATAGATGATAGATAGATAGATGTGTACTATATATTTTAGTATCAAAATCTTGAATAATTGTCATAGATAACATCACAGTTATTGTTTCATAAGAACTTAAAAATTATAACACAAGCACTTGATACTTACCTGAAATAACCAGCAGTGTCTTTGCTTTTGAAGATATCTTCAGTGAAAGGTTTTTATTCTTCAGGCTGAGCTAGAGCAGGAGAGGCACCAGCATGAAGAAACACTTGCTGCCATGAAGGAAGAAGAGAATCTTAGAGTGGACAGAATGGCCCATGACTTGGAGATAAAGTGGACTGAAAATCTTAGGTACATTTTTTATTCTGTAATGTCACCTTTCCAATACAGATATGCAAGAAAGTTTTCCTGTTGTATGACTTACATTGTTAAAGATAGTATTTTAAATGATTTTTTCTCCAGGATTAGATGCAGAGATTTTAGAATTTTTTTTTTCTGTTTGAATTCAGATTTTATTTTTTTTCTGATTTTATTTCCTATTTTATTAAATTGGAAGAGAACTAATCAGAAGTTAACAGACTTATTTATTCTAGTACCTGTTCTGACCTTAATCAATGGATAAACAAGTGATGAGTAAGTTACCAGTTTACCTTATGGTCCTTAGCTATGAAATAATCAGCTCCTACTCTGAGTCACAGACATTTGAGGAGGATTAGGCATTTATAAAAGCTGTGAATGACTGTATGTCATTCACATTATTCACTTAGAGAAATAATTCTCTTTACAAAGTAAATACTTATGTTTTTTTCTAGACAGGAGTGCTCTAAACTTCGTGAAGAGTTAAGGCTTCAACACGAAGAGGATAAGAAGTCAGCAATGTCTCAGCTGCTACAATTAAAAGAGCGAGAGAAAAATGCTGCCAGGGACTCATGGCAGAAGAAAGTCGAAGATCTCTTAAACCAGGTAATTAAAGCCTGTACCGTCTAAAGATTCATTTTCCTTGACCCTCTTGAGCTAGGAAAATACTATAAAGCACTGTGTGCAAATTCACTGTATTTTGTTATTTTTCATAGGGCAAACTTAAAATAATTTTAAAGTGAATAAAATTAAGACAACATATTTAAAAATTTGGGAAATGTTGAGCTAAGAAATTATTTTATATATATAGTCTTAACTGTGAAGAATTGATAAGTTTCTTAGTTTAATATTTGAACTGAACACATTAGAGATTTTAAGTAGAGAAGGTAGCTGTTCTTTGAAAATATAAAATCTCCTTTAAGCTCTTAAATATCTTTTCACAACAGAAGGGAACATTTATTAAATGTACCCTGATTAACTAAAACCACTCTCCAAAAACAAGCAGTTAACTTCTTTCTCACCAAAGGGCTAGTACTTGAAGCCCCTTGGAGATAGTATCACATAAGCAAATGGTGATAATATTTTGAAATCTATCTTTTTTATGTTTTCTTATTTCCAGAATTTTTATAACTATAATTAAAGTAATTTGTACATTTTTACTTATTTACATAACCTCTAACTTTATGAATTCTTAGCATTCTCCTACTAAAGCAGTAATTAAATAGACTACATGAGTCATCAGTTGATAAACAAGTGCAGAATTTGGGCAAAAAGCAGCTGGTGCTTTAGTGCTGCAAATCCACAATTATGTTTCTGTTTGTGATCATGATTAATTTCAAAATAAGCAGGAAAGGCTTTGTCTAAGATTATTTGTCACATAGGTACATATATACAGTGTCTTTCAAGAATGCTTGGGGTCTATAGTTCACCAATTTTTTAAAAAAATGAATGCTTAAGGTCTGCCAATTTGTACCTGGTATTTTATAATAATTTACGATATTATTCTGAAATAGAATTACATACTATGTGAGAGAGAGAGCTTCGTGAATCATTTGAAACCTTTGAAATTCAGACAAAAATGGGAACAAAGAAATAGTTCTTATTAAAAGCTCTATGCCATATTACCTTGCTAATTACCATCTACACATTTGTCTTACTTTCTTTTTCTCATTTCTTTTTTTCTTTTTAGACAGTACTGGGTGTTCTCCAACCAAGTTACATCGCCAATCTTTTTTTTTTATTTTGAGATTTTTTATTTTATTTATTTTTTAACTTGTCCAGGATGACCTGAAACTTGTGTTTCTCCTGCCTCAGCCTCCCCAACACACTAGAATTATAGGCTGGAATTATAGGTATACACCACTCACTCATTTTACATTCTATTTAGGGACCTGGAAGGACAGAATGTTACTAAGCCTCTATCATGTTCTGCACTTACGAAAATTAATTAGTTCAGCAGGCTTGGGCTTGATGATATTAAAGGATTAAGAGTAGGGAATAAGTCTAGGACTTGGGCAGAAGCATATACTATGAAAAAGTATGAGTATCTGCATTTTCACATATTTAATAGTTTCTGAGTGAACTGAACATGAGACTATTTTTGTACCTTAGCATACCTGTATTTCATCCTCTTTAGAGCAAAGGAAAACATGAAATAACTTGTTTTGATATGAATTTAAATGTTTTTATTAGTACTTTTAGCTATGCATAACAGTAGAATTCATTCTGATAAGATATATAAGCATAGGATATATCTTATTCTAATTAGGACCCCATTCTTGTGGGTGGGCACAGTGGTGGGATTCACTTAGGTATTTTCATATGTGTACATAAGAAAATTATGTTAGATTTATTCCACTGTCTTTCCTATTCCTATCTGCCCCTTCTTGTTGTTCCCCTTTGTCTAATCTACTGAATTTCTCTCCCCTCTCCTCTTCAGTATGGTTTAGCTTCCACATATCAGCGAAAATATTTGACCTGTGATTCTTTGAGATTGGTTTATTACACTTAGCATGATATTCTCCAGATCCATCCATTTATTAGCAAATGTCATAAAATCATTCTTCTTTATGGCTGAGTAAAATTTCTTTATATATACATACATATGTATAAACATACATATTTATATGTGTGTGTATATACACACACACACACACACACACACACATACATATATACATATCACAGTTTCTTTATACATTCATCTGCTGATGGGCATCTAGGTTGGTTCCATAGCTTAGCTATTGTGAATTGTGCTGCCATAAACATTAATGTTTATGGCTATGTCACTGTTGTATGCTGATTTTAAGTCCTTTGGATATATGCCAAGGAGTGGGATAACTGGATCAAATTGTAGTTTCATTCCTGGTTTTTTGAGAAATCTCCATAATGCTTTCCAGGGTGGTTGCACCAATTTGCAGTCCCACCAACAATATATGAGTGTTCCTTTTCCCCCACATCCTCATCAACATTTGTTGTTACTTGTATTCTTGATAATTGCCATTCAGACTGGAGTGAAATGAAATTTCAGTGTAGTTTTAATGTGTGTTTCTCTAATTGCTAGAGATGCTGAACATTTTTCATATATTTGTTGACCATTCATACTTCTTTTGAGAAGGGTCTCTTCGGTTCCTCCCATTCATTGATTGGGCTATTTGGGTTTTTGGTGTTATGCTTTTTGAGTATTTTGTATATCCTAGAAATTAACACCCTATCTGAGGTACAGGTGGCAAAGATTTTCTCCCATTCTGTAGGTTCTCTCCTCACTCTTGATTGTTTCTTTTGCTGAAAAGAAGCTTTTTAGTTTCATGCCATCCCTTTTATTGATTTTAAATTTTATCTCTTGTGCTTTAGAAGTCTTGTACAGAAAGTCAATTTCTGCCAATATTTTGAAGTGTTGGGCTTACCTTTTCTTTTAGTAGGTGCAGGGTTTCTGGTCTAATTCCTAGGTCTTTGATCCACTTAGAGTTGATTTTTGTGCAGGGTGAGAGATAGGGGTATAATTTCATTTTGCTAAATATCGATTTCCAGTTTTCCTAGAAACATTTGTTGAAGAGACTATCTTTTCACCAATGAATGTTTTGGGCACCTCTGTTTAGTATAAGAAAACTGTGTTTATGTGAGTTTGTCTCTGTGTCTCCAATTCTGTACCATTGGTCTACATGTCTGTTTTCATGCTAGTGTCATGCTGTTTCTGTTACTATGGCTCTCTTAATTTAAGATCTGGTTTCGTAAGGCCTCCTGCTTCACTCTTCTGGCTAAGGATTGCTTTGGCTATTCTGGGCCACTTATTTTTTCAAATGAATTAGATGACTGCTTTTTCTATTTCAATGAAGAACATCATTGGAATATGACTGGAATTGCACTGAATCTGCTGAGTGCTTTTGGTAGTATGGCCATTTTAACAGTATTGATTCTGCTTATCCAAGAGCAGTGTAGGTCTTTCCATCTTCTAAGTCTTCCTCTCAATTTTTTTTCTTTAGTGTTCTGTAGTTAGTCATTATAGAGGTCTTTCTTCTGTTTTGTTAAGATTGATTCCTAAGTATTTTTTTTCTAGTTACTCTTTTGGCTGATTCATCATTAGAGTATAGGAACACAATTGATTTATGGGTATTAATTTTGTATACTGCTACTTTGCTGAATTCATTTATGAGTTCTAAGAGTTTACTGGTAAGAGATTTTTTGGCCTTCTAAATATAGAATCATGTCATTGGCAAACAGATACTTTGAGCTCTTCTTTTCCTTTTTGTATCCCTTTATTTTTTTTCTTTTGCCTAATTGCTCTGGCTAGAGTTTCAAGGATTAAGTGGAATAGAAGTTGTGAAAGTGGGCATAATTTTCTTGTTCCTGTTTTTAAAGGGAATGCTTTCGGGTTTTCTCCATTTAGAATGATGTTGGCCTTGGGTTTGTCATATGGCTTTTACAATGTTGAGGTATGTTCCTTCTATTCCTAGTTTTTCCAGTGTTGTAAACATGAATTGATGCATATTTTGTCAAATGCTTTTTCTGCATCTATTGAGATAATGATGTGTTCTTGTCTTTGAGTCTATTTATGTGATGTACTACATTTACTGATTTCTGTATGTTGAACCAACCTTGCATCCCTGGGACGAATCCCACTTGATCATGCACTATTTTTTAATGTGCTCTTGTATGTGATTTGCCAGTATTTTATTAAGAATTTTTGTATCTATATTCATCAGGGATATTGGTCTGAAGTTTTCTTTTCTTGATGTGTCTTTGAATGAGTTTGGAAGAATTCCCTCATTTTCTATTTCATGGACTAATTTGAGGAGGACTGGTGCTAGTTCTTCTTTAAAGGCCTGGTAGAACTCAGCTGGGAATTCATCCAGTCCTGTACTTTTCTGTGTTGATAGGCTTTTGATGGCTTCTTCGGTTTCATTTCTAGAAATTGATCTGCTTAAATTTTAATATCCTCCTGGTTCAATTTAGGTAGGTCATATATATAGAGAGAGATAGATAGGTAGATCTATCTATTTATATATATGTGTGTGAATTTGTCAATATCATCAAGATTTTCTAGTTTATTGGAATTTAAGTTTTCAAAATAGTTTCCAATTATCCTCTGTATTTCTGTAGTGTCTGGGGATATTTCCATTTTCATCATGGATTTTAACAATTTGAGTTTTTCTTTTTTTTTTTTTTAGCTTGGCTAAGGGTTTACCAATTTTGTATACAAGTTTTCTTTCATTGCCTTTTTGGGTTTTTTTTTATCTCAATTTCATTGGGTTCAGGTCTGATTTTATTTTCTTGTTCTATTAATTTTGCTTTCTAGTAGAGCGCTTGCCTAGCACGTGTGAGGCACTGGGTTCAATTCTCAGCATTATATGTAAATGAATAAATAAATAACAGTCCATTAACAACTAAACAACTACTAAAAAAGTGAATTACCTGACACAGTAGCTTTTTTCCACCTAAATTTTATTCATTCATATCTTCTTCACTATTTTAGTTTAAATATTGAACAATGGTATATAAATTTTTATTTTTTGCTTTAGGAGAATTATTAGAGCTGTGAAATCTTATTTCTAAATCTTAGATTTGTTAGTTGCTTTCCTCTAGGTATTAGTATACTTGAAATTAAT